GGATACGCTCAGTGATCTTTTCTGTCGAGCATGCAGAGTGGCCAGAAGTGAGAACGGTTGGGGTCAAAGGTTTGTTGGGCTTCGGTAGTAGCCTTTTCGATATATGTACTATGTATGTAGTAGGAAAGTGTCCTTCTTGAATGCATGTATTTCACAATGCAGTAAGATGCAATAAGAGTTAGATGTAAATACATATGTATATCAATATGCACATCTGTATGTACACACGTGCAGAGAGGGTCTCTGTGGATATTCTGTACATTTTGTTCTTCTCTCTTTGTTCTTTAAAGCACTGAAGTGCAGATAACTATTTACGTATTTTACGTACATACTTACTATGTACTACATATGTACAATATGTACATACATATGTATGTGGCTTAAACATCAACACCTGTGCATGCAACGATGCAATCAACAAATGGTTCAACATACATACTTAATGCCTACATAAATAAATATGTATGCACGTACACATCTTTATGCTCCACAAAACGGTAACCATGCTCTCTTAGTTGTTCGTCTGTTCAAAACTGTACAATGTATGCACATATGCATACATGCATATCCATAATAAATATGTAGCCATGCTGTTGAGCCCAAAAACAGTTTTAACAACACCAACGACTACTGTTAGCCAATTTATAGCAAATTCTCCTTACTACGAGTATGTACTATCTTGGTCCAATAGTGAAGGTGAGCAAAATGTAGGAGATCAATTGCAACTATGCCATGTACAACGTACGTTTATGGCAACTATGTATGTACATACTCGTACGAATGTCCATATGTATTTAGAGATCGTAAAAGTATGCACGTTCCATGGTGATCTATGGTCATGTGCAAAAGTAGATATCCCAACTTTTCATAGTGGCAAGAGAGCCAGGCTAGCCAGGCAGTCAATGCCGGCCGATTGGATTTGAGTTTCCGTTTAAGTTTCAGCTTCCAGCTGCGGCCTTAACTGTTACGGGCTTAAATAAGTATGTAGATACCTCAAGATACTTAGGTATCTATGGAATTTAGTACAAACATACATATGGCTGTATTTATCTAAACATTTACGCACTTGTATAGTATGTATGCACATATCTAGGTATGTATACAGTGGCTTCAAAATAAAGTGGGACAATGTAATTGCATTTATTTAAAGATACCAAAAAAAAAAACGCCGGTTTGGAACGAAGTCACACAGATCTCTTTGCTCTTTCAATGCTATCTATAAACTGCAACAGACCACAATAATCTGCTTATTCCATCTGCGGTCATTAGTAATTGTTTTACTATTCATTTGTTTTAAGGGAAATTGGCGCTAATTTTCTATAGGTAAACTGTTTTACTATATAGGGTATCAAATACCATTCATCCACGCCTTTGTTCAGAGAATCCGAATCTGTATTAAAAAATTTAGGTTTTTATAAAAAAAAAAATGGGTTTCCGGTCAGTTTAACCCACAGTCGAAATCGGAGGTCGCTAATACGACCATAAGACAAACCATCCCTGATTTGGTAGATCATATTTTAGTGTTTTCTAAATAAAAAATATTTTCCTCCGTTTTAGATGGGGTAGACGGGTGGTCTAGAACACCCTGTATGTGGGGCGTTCCATACCAAAATGGACGGGGTTCACACTTCATGTTTTAAAATTGTTAGGTTGATGGACAAACATAAATAATAAATAAATATGAAATTTCAATTTTTAAAAACTTTACAGCACAAAAACAAAAACAAATTGATTTAATAGTTTTTCAAATATTTCGAGAACGGGGCGAAGAAAAATTTGAATAAAATCACACATACACACATCAAAAATTTGTATGAAAAGAAATACTTTTTTAATATTTTTTAGTTGAAAAAATTTTCACATACAAACTTTTTTATAAAAAAAAAATAGTTTTTGAAAATAAGCCATCTAAAAAAATTAAAAAAAATCACAATGGTAGCTCTGAGTATTGCGCAGTATTTAAGTATAGTATTATGGGGTGCACTCTACAATAATTTATAGTTATGATTATTTTTTTACACGAAAGTTCAGTAAAATGAGTACATATATTACAAAATTTACAAATTTTTTAAATTTTTTTCTAGAATTTTTTGCGTATGCAGTTTTGTAGCCCATTAAATTTTAGTATAATAAAGTGCAAGTTTTAGGCGATTGAAAAACTGGCATTAATTCGTTTTTAGTTTTCTTTGAAAACGGTTTTGCTCATTTTTTTCAATAAGAAAAAGTGCAATAAGCCGTCAGCATAAAAATTATTAAAAATCGACGCAATTTTGCAGTAGCTAATACTTATACTAAAATTTAATGGGCTACAAAACTGCATACTCAAAAAAAAAAAATAAAAAAATAAAAAAAATTTTAAATTTGTAATGTACTCATTTTACTCAACTTCAATGTAAAAAAATGCATAACTAAAATTATTGTAGAGTGCACCCCGTAATAATATGCTATGCTATAAATATTGCGCAATACTCAGGGCTACCATTGTGATTTTTTTAAATGTTTTTTTTGCGATGGCATATTTTCAAAAACTATTTTTTTTATCAAACAATTTGTATGTGAAAATTTTCATAGAGAATTTTGAAGAATCGTGAAGAAGACCGACAAATCTTCTAACGGAGTCTGCACTACAAGATCCAGACTGTATAGCCTGTTGAATGTTGATTCTTTGGCGACGACACGGCAACACTGCGACTAGCCAAAAATGTAGCTGTGGCCAGATTGAGTCTGATTGAGGCAAATCAAAAGACATACTATAGTTCAACCAAACACAGAAGAAAGATTACACTGAGGCATCTTGGACTTTCTTTGTGCCCTTTTTTGAAGTGCTTAAGAGGCCTTAATGCCCATTTTCTCAATCTTCATCCGATGCAAAGTCCTTTGGGCCAGAAAGAATCGTCTTTGAAATTTTATGGGCTATAAATCTCCATACCTTAAATTGTTCTAAAAAATCAGAGTAAAAAGTTCGAATCCTTGATTTTTATGAATTTGGCTAAAGTGCAAACAATATTCTTATACAAAAAAAAAGAAATACCAAAAAAATTGTTTCTTGAGAAACATTGTTAACATTAAAGAAAAATCACCAAACGGTTTTTTGAGTAACTATATTTTTCTATAATAACTCCAGTTGAAGTTTTTTCAAATGATGAAGTTTCGTTGTTGCCTCTAGTTTCATCACTTTCGCTTTTGGCTGAAGTAGACTGAGAATATGGTATTAATATGATCTCAAACACCGTATAATTAGTTAAATAAAAAGTTCCCTAAATTAATTTTCATTCTTGATGAAATAAATAAAAAAATAACACAACTATATTAAAAAAACTAAAAAAATATCGAAACTATAGTTTTTATTAAAATAACTAAAAAAAGTTATTGGAAGATATTTTCCAGATTTGGTAGATTTTTTTTCAAGTGGATGGTAAGTATTTTTTGTCGTCAGTGGCAACTCTGGCGGCTGAGAAATTGCTTTGAATTTTACAAATTTTTTTTTGCTGACGACTTTTTGCACTTTTTTTTCCAAATAAGCATGAATTTCTTATGAACGAAAAGGCGCAAGACCATTTGCAAAGTAAATTAAAAAAAATTAACGCCAGTTTCTATATAAATTGCACTTTTTGTATGGAAAAACCCGCAAAAGCCGTTATCAAAAAAAGAGGTATATATATATATATATTAAAATCCACGCGATTTTTCAGCCGCTTAAAACTTGCACCTTGCTTATTAAAATTTAGCAGATTATAAAACTACATAACCGAAAATTTTCTGAAAATGCAGATTGAAAAGTTAAAAATTTTAAAGAAAATTTGTTGAATTTTTCTAAGCTCTTTATAAAAATTGTGTGTTGCATGAACCAAATTTTTATAAAAAAAATAAAAAAATTTTACCCTTAAGAATATTTTGTAATATTTTACAAAAATCAGCGTTGTCTCAGATTGACACTTCATTGCATGTATGTATGCAATCTTGGTTTGTTGGAAACACGCGTTTGTCTCAGCGAGAAGAAGGCTTATAGCAATATTTTTAAAAGTGTTGCCACCTGTTTGAAAAGTCGAATTAATTTAAATTATACACAAGTTGTATGAAATTTTAAAATATGCGTGCTAAGCGAAAGAGTGTTAGGAAATTTATAGTGTGAACATTTAGAATATTTTTCAGATGTTTGAAGGGGGTTGCCACCTTTTAAAAAAGTTAAATTCAAATTTTTGAATACGCTCAATGCATTATAAAAATGCGGGAATCAATCGAAACTGGTTTAAAAGGGCTTAATTTCAAAGCTACAAAAGTGGGGGGGTTGGCTGAGTGTTTGCAAGCGGGCGTGTCACCACCCATAGCCGTAATACACTCCGAGACCCATAATTTTGGAAGCATAAGTCAGATGACTCTGAAATTTGGTGTACATATGTATGAAATAGTTTGCACAAGGTGACGTGGCTCCTCAACCCATAGGCGTGAAATTTTTTAATCAGCTATTTGTTCTTCTGACTTCGTTTTATGCTTCATCTATCCCACCTCTTTCATAGACCACTGTTTGTATGTATGTATGTATGTCGGCACGCATAGACACACGTTGACTCTTTGGAGCAGCAACAGCAGCTGTGCAAACCGAAAAATAAAAGGAATGAAATAAGCAAAATGAAAGCTATGCTACAATAATAACAACAACAAAAAGGTAAAATAAGCGCTAAATAAGAGCATGATGCCGCAGAAACGATCGTCGAAGCTGAAAAAGTAGAAAATGCGGCAAAGACCTGGAGCGTTGCGAGCGCAACTCCATCGAGTGGAAATAATGCTGAGTTGCTACGTTGCGACGCAGCGACGACGGCTCAATTCTGTCTATGGTTGCTTCTTGGATTGGCGCATTGCTGCTTTACTGCTTTACGGCTTTGCCGCTCTGTTACTGACAACAATTAGCCAGCAGCAGCTAGCAGCTAGCAGCCAGCAAGTTGGCCAAAAAGCGGTCAGAGACCGACAGAAATTTTCAGTTTAACCGCGATTGCCAATCGCTTAAGACGCTTTTTTGTAAAGACGACTTCAATTGCATATCGTGGTGCTATCTACATACATATGTATGTAAATACATATTTACAAGTATTTTTCTTTGGTTTTTGAAAGTTTTCTTACGCTACGCTGAAGGCGGCGGACTTGAGTACTTAGTCGCGTTTTTGCCATTTTAACTGCATATCTGCTATTGTTGGCTTTCAAGTTCACGTAGTAGCATAACTCGTATGTAATAACAATTAGAATCGCGTTGTAAACGCAAAGTCCAAGCACGTAAAATAGCATATGTAATGGTAGTAATTATTAAAATGATTAATTAATTAATTAATTCATGGTGCATGTGTAACAAAGCAAATACATTGATGTATGTACGTACGTATGTACATTTGAAGTGTAGTGATTTTTGAATTTGATTTTGATATCTTTAAGCAAACTGCATGAACAACAAACACACCCGTTTTCCGCGTAGAAAAAATTTTGAAAATATTTTTGTGTACGTAAAATGAGTTTGGGTGGTGATAAAACGTTCAAGATGAGAATGCGCGACATGGAAAACGCTTTCAAATATCGCCGGATACCATATCCAAAGAGGTAAGTAGTTAACTCCTTTTATCGGACACATGTTATGCGTGTCCGGGCATGCAAAGACACCACCAAAACAAAAATAAAGAAAAGAGAAATGCTGTGTTACAGGAAATTCGTATCGAAACCCCAAACTGTAGGCGAAACTACTGCTGAAAATTTTTTAAACAAATACTTTCAATAAAGAAATTGCTTCCTGGTGGTGGCGGCCAGAGTTGCACAACCAAGCAATTGACCAATTTTTCGCGCTCTCACCCGTTCCATTCACAAACCTACTAAACTCGAATTGAAGTCGTCTTAGTTAGAAAGAAGTGAAATGAAATGAAATGACTCGACAAGAGTACAAAAAAAAAGAAGCCATACACGTAGAGTAGTTAATAGCGAAATGGTACGCTTGCACTCCTAACATAATGATATTAATAAAAACAACAAAAAAAGCTTGTAAAAAAAGTTTGCTTAGAAAAAGAAAAACAAAAACAACATTTGTAGAAAGCACCAAAAACATATAAAATAAAAGCATTGAAACTACCAAGTGAGAGGCTTGCTTGTTCCAAATTGATATCACCTAGTTTTGAATTTAATGAAAACCGGTATAAATTGTCTTAGACGCACCGCACTTTTTAGCCTAGCTTACATACCTAGATTCACATACATACATGCTCGTACATACATACCGCGATTGACAGTGGTACCCACTGCCGACAGCACCATTTTCGGGCAAATAAAGTTGAAGTTGGGGCTATTGCAAATAATAATAACTGGTTAGCTATGTAGTGCAAATACTTATGCGTAGATATGTAGATACGTTTGAAGGCGAATGAATGCACACTTTGATGTAAAAAGTGAATTGCATTTTGTAAACCTCCATACAGCCCATAGATACTTAACTCTTTTTAGCTGCGAGATTGCTTTTTAAGATCTTTTTGTTTGTAACTAATATCCAGATGGGTGAAATTTCTTCATTATCTACAGCCTCTGTTGCGGTGGCGCTGAATTTTTTTAATGATTTTTTTTTTGATTTAATACACACTTAGTGTGAGTCAATTTATTTTTATAATACCGCATAATTTAAAGTTTTGTACGCAAATAATAACAGCAAATTTAATATGCTGAGGGTAGGTTGACTGTGGTGGTGAGCGAGCTGAATGACTGCGTGATTGACTCACTAGGCTGGGTCGATTTTGTATGGCGTAAAATAAAAGGCATCGGACCGTATTTTAATAGTAATACTATAATGTCTTAGGGCTAAACCAATTGTTATTGGCCACGAAAGATTAATTTAAAACTTATCTTTAGCCCGCGCAATTGAATCAAAGTGTATGAATTTTGAAAATGAAACTTTGGCTCGTAATATCTTTGGAATGCGTTAATTGTTATAAACAGGACGATATATTAAATTAAGGGTTATTAAATTTAGTACCTCACGTTCATTTATCATTTTTCAATAAGTCTACAAGTTTTTAAGATATTAAGATAAATCTTACAAAAACTATTATTTTCCCTTATTAATTTTCAATTCTTCATTACTTCAGCAACCAAGTGAAAAATGCAAAGAAGTGAGACGAGATTTATTTCAAACGTTTTAATGTTTTCGGATGTTTATATACATAATATTAAAAGGACCATGGACTTGGTCACGCCGATTTCGTCAGTTTTTAAGATCGCAGTAAATGAAGTCAAACATGTAATGTCCAAGATTAGGAATCGTTTGATAAGTTAATAGTAGTTTCAAGCATATACCTAAGTAGGTATTTACATACATTAACATAGTACAATTAGGGTGAGAAACGCCCATTTATGCAGTCTTGAAAATTGGCGCGGAATGGTCACCGAAGAAGCACATTTTTCGCGGTTTCTAAATTTGCCGTTATACGAAAGTAGGGGACGTGCAATAAGTGTTTAGATATACATAAATATTGTAGTCAATTCCATTATGTGAAAAACTGACTGTAAGTGTCTTTAACATATCCTGGAAAATCCTTTTGAGGACTCTCCAATTGGACGATATTGCTTTGCATTCAGCTTGAACGAAAAAAGTCACTCTCTGGCACACTTTTCTGTAGGCCGGTTCTTTCATTTAAAAGTTATTTGTACATACAATTGAAGACAATTGTTTTTTAGAAAAAAAAACTGGAGATCCACTTAAGTTTTTCGATATAACTTTGGTAAATGTTACTCGATCGGTACGAAATCGTGACTGGTTTATGATAATAATATGATTGAAATCGTTCAGATTGTAAACAAATTATTAAAAAAAAAAATGTTAAACAAAATTTTTTGTCATTTTCCTATATTTGCATTTTTGTATTGTATACATAAACAAATATGTAAATTAGTGTTTCCAGAAGTTGTGCCTGTTAAGTGTTTCCATACTCATTTGCATACACAAATTTTTTCCACCACTATGGAAAATAATAGCTTTTCCATTGGAGCAACCTAAATTTGCAAAAATTCGCAAGCTATAGCTAATATTAAAAAAGATTAGAATATTTGGAACCAGCGATCTAAATGCACCCCAGCAGTATCAATGCTGTTCTTTACATCTTTTGACTATAGGCCAGTGCAATTATCAAGAGAACAATTCAAATTTTATTGAAGAGAGATAACTTTGAGATTAACGATAAGCTAAAGGGCTGCGAGAAATGATGTGACTTTATCAAAGCTTTTTGCTGAACCCAAAATTATTAACAGGAATTGGTCTTATTCGACTAATGTGCTGTGGGTCACTTGGCGGTCGATACGCGGGCTCTTACAATTAAAATAAAATACTGATATTTTGCAGGCTTGTTGTTGACTTCACGATACAATATATTTTCACTATTACTAAGGGATTTGAGAAAAATTAGATTTTCGACCCGCCCTAGTGCTCACTTTGTACATTTGTATGCACTAGTATGTATGCATGTATGTATGGATGGTGCATTCGGTGGGCTGCAGTGAAAATTTCGCATTTTTTCTATTTCGTAATTGAGTGCATATTTCTAAGCTTGTTTAATTCAGATGCAGGTGTGCCACCATAAACTCGAGCTCAAAATCTTCCATAGCAGCTACATATATGTATTTTCGACTATCATGCAAAGTCTCACTATTTTTCGTTCTGATACGATTTGATCTTCTGCTCTGTAGATTCATGACAACGTTACTTACATCCCGATTCCCAGATTGAAAAGAGTTCAGCAACTCCCAAAACAGGGGGCCTGGAGCCAATTTTTATTAAATTTTTAAAACCCCTTTTATGCACCTTTTCTTTGCAATTTGTTTTGTATTACTTATATAGTAGACCTGGGCCTTTTTCTGCAGTAACCTATAACTTTAAAGCTGACTTTATATTTAAAGGTTGGATTAAAAGTAAAGCTATGTCTAAAGTTAAACATTTCTACTATCGGTTTTTGGCGTGTTTATGTTTCTTGGTTGTAAACCAATTTAAAGCCGATAATAAAATGCAACATTTAAATATAAAGTGAGCTTTAAAGTTACAGGTTCCCCCTGGCCCTTAATCGATAAAGCACTAACACTTATGCAGTCACAAGTGGGCGTTACCATGCCGATTCCACAAAAATCTATAATATTCTTATTTCTTGTTAACTTGGAGTAAGGTAGTGTCCTTAGTTATTGAAATATCGTAGTTTTCATATTTCTGCAAATTACCGTTAATAATAATAATAATAGATTGGCGCTTACACATATGTTAGTGTTTGGCCGAGCTTCTCCTCCGATTTGTGGCGTGCGCCTTGATGTTGTCACACAAAGCGAAGGGACCTACAGTTTTACGCCGACTCCGACCGGCGATTGTATTTTTATGAGAAGCTGTTTTTCATGGCAGAAATTCACTCGGAGGTTTGCCATTGCCCGCCGAGAGACGACCGCTGTTAAGAAAAAACTTTTTTTCTATATTTTTTTGCGATGTTGCTTTGGCCAGGGCTTGAACCCAGGTGCTGCGGAGTGGAAGCGCGCACTGCTTACCACTACACCACAGCGGCCACAGCAATTGTTTATGCCAGAAATAATTCAACTTTTTAATTTAAATATTTGCCAGTTATTTATGAAATGTCACCAAAAAAGTTAATGCAAAAATGTAGAACAATATGCGTATTTTTTATTTTCGTTTGGAGGCAAATAATTAAGATATTTTTTGGAATTTCCTAATTCCAATACGCATAAAGCTTAATTACGTATTAAAAATGAGATAAATAGTTTAGCATATGCCGCTAATTTTTATATGTTTTTTTTTATGCGTTAGAGCAGTTCAAAAAAAGGCACAACCTTTGATGCACTTTGTTAAATTGGTTTTGGAGAAAAATCGGCGTTTTGCCATCTTCAATGTGATTTTCTTAGCTTTTTTGGAGTTATGATTCCACTTTGGAGTATTAATCATATATTATTACATTGTTTTCTCTCACACATTATTATAGAAAATAGAGCGTACTAATTTATAATACTTAAATTGATGTGCGCCGTTGTAATGGAAAATTCTTGGAAAGTAACAAAATTAGACATGGTAGTTGGAAAATCGTTAACGGTTATTACTTTGGTACATTAGACATGGGTTGGTTAATTGAATTAGCGAGTTTAGTATTAACTTCAATAAGAACTTATGCATGCCGTCTTAAACCACTACTCTTACTTTGAACTGAAAAGAAATTAGCATAAGTTAGTTTGTTGTTGTTTGCGACAGGATGCAAAATTTCTCGGGTTAATATCACTCATATAATTTAGACCGCAGTAGAAGGTTTTACCTAGAAATCTGATTCTAGTCCTACACAGTGCTGGGCAATTACAGAGAAGATGCTCTACCGTTTCCTCTGCATCTGGTGAATTACAGCTACGACAAAAAGGGTTGTATTCCCAGTGCCTTGTGAAAACGTCAGTTAGCCGAGATAAATCTGTCTTTTTCAGTTTGATGTGAAATGTAGTGCGTTTTGCGCAATAGGTAGGTCTTCCCACCTACTGTTAGCCACCTTTTTCCAGTGCTAAGTATGGCAACCCTTGATATAGTTCAGAGGCCTAAG